ATATATATATATATATATATATATATATATATATATATATATATATATATGAACAAACTATGGTGCATTTTTGTTTTATTTGAATGTAAATATAATTTGTATTATTTAATTACAACATATCTTAGAAGCTCTATCTGTTGTGTCTCTTTTATTAAAATCATCTCTCTGTTGTTTCTCACTAAATGTGTTCATTATAGCCAGGCATTAGAAGGAAAAACTCAAGAACGGCTAACAATCCTGTATTTAACTATCAAGCACCTATCCTCCTGGAAAGCTGCAATGTGTGAAAATACCATAAGATAAAGAGTTAGAAAATTTGCAACAATGTCCTGAAATAAGTTTTGCCTTAAAAATGCATAATTGAAAACTGGTCCTAAACATGGTCCTTTTTCAAAATCTACTCCACAGATGTTCTCTATAGGGATATAACAGAATTTTATTTTATATTTAAATAAGCTCAATATTTTTGTCACTCATTTCAGAGAGTGAAACTTTGATATCATATAAATTGATTACATATACAGCAAATTATTGTTTGTTATTGTTTGTGGTTTAAAAAATGTTGGCTTACAGGGAACGAAGCCCTGAAATTCAATGTCTCACAAAATTTGAAATTGTAAAAAAAAATCTTAAAGCTTATTGTTTTTAAATTTCTTTTCACTTGTTTATATTTTTAAAGGGTTTCCTCTAAGGATGCCATTTTTGGTTTTCTAAGGAACATAAAGTAGGACCCAGAATTCAAGCAAGACAGACAGTGGAATACTTAAAATGTGTTTATTCAAACAAAGATGGAAGGGATCTGCAGTGGCGGCTGCAGTGGCTAGGACGTCTGAGTTCAGGCCCAGAGAACGAGGATGATTCCAGCCGATCCAATTGAACAGACCCAGCAGACGCTTCCAGAGAGTTCCAGACTCGGGAGCCTAGAAGGATACAGTGCTGACAGGAGATCAGATCCGAGCTGACCAAGGAAGGCAGGATAATCCTCAGGGCGAAGTCAAGAGGCAGATCCAAGTTCACTCCACAAGAAGAATCAAGTCTGAAGATAGGCAGGCAAACAGATCAGACAGGAGCAGGCAGGCTGACAAGTCCAAATACAGACGGGTCAAGATGATACAATCAAAACTCTATAGAAATGCTATAGAAATCAACACCAAAGGCTCAAGAATGACCTGGCACTAATGGCTGGGACCAAGGAGTTTGAATAGAAGCAGGAGCAGGTGGACCAGATGAGCAGGGATGAGGAACAGGGCAGAGACAGATAGGGTAATGATATTAGCATTAAACCAGCCATCAGTGCCAAAATCATGACAAGAAGTGCTTTAAATTGGCATTTGCATAATATATATGCAGTTTGATCAGTTGAATCACAAACTTTTTACTCTGGCTACATAATAACAAATTAAGATCCATGATTCTTAGAAAGTTGAGCGATATAGGAAAAGTTTTTTTAAGAAAAGACAAAAGGGACAAAAAGAGTTAAAATGTTTAAGATTTTTGGTTCCTTATTTAAACGTGATCATAGGGTGGAGCAGCAAATGGATAATATTTTTTTTTCTTTTGCACTGCAAAAACAACCTAGAAATAAGCAAAAAAAGTCTTAAATTAACTGTATTTACTCTTAATTTGAGCAGGTAAATAAGATTGTTTGCCAATGGAATGAGTATTTTTACTCTTAGAATAAGATAATTAGATAACATGTACTTGAAATAAGACAATGCAATTGTTTTTTTCTTATTTTAAGTATAAATTGTCTCATTTCATTGGTAAAATGTCTCACTTACCTCCTCAGTTAAAAAAAAGGCACTTATTTTATTTTTAAAAATGACTTATTTAGATATACATTTTTATGCAGTGTGGTAGTTAAAATAACAATATACCTGAGCTGAAAGACCCACTGCCCTACTTTACCTTTGATTCAGAGATATGGATTATCGTTATTTTTTTGTTTTTGTTTCGGGGAAGCTGGTCCGAGTTGTTGGGAAGATTGATAGAGCTAAACCACAGTCCAGGAACAAAACCTTTTTAGAAACTACAGAAGACCTGAAACCTGGAACTTCCAGGTCACTCACCCAAAAACACAGAAATATGACCCAGTTTCCGCTTCGTTTTCTGAAGTCTTCAAAGAAAATCATGTCTGGTTGAAAACTTCTTCTCAGTGCATTTCAGTTCTCCTATTTATATAATTATTGTGACTTGAACACAAAGACATAGGTTCACCATTTCAAATTAACCTCATGTACATAATTCCTAAAATTACCATTCTTAATCTCGCTTCTTACTCATTATATATGGAAAACACCACTTGATTCTTCTAATTAAGTAAGAAAAATGCAGAAACATATATATTTTTTCTTTTTGTTTTTATTACTATTTATGTAATTTAAATTTTTTATTTCCCTGCAAACATTTTTATCATGCAGAAGATCACTTCTAAACATCGTTATCAGTCTGGTTGCAAAATGCTTCAAATCATTGCTTCAAATCATCCAGACACATGATATCAGGGCAGTTACCACCACAAATGGGCGTTATTTAAAAAATAAAAAAAACTTCTATCTGATACAGCAGAGCTGCTACGCGTTCGATCATTTATATCTCATCTTGCGCAATGTGAAGATTTCCATCTAGCATGAAGCTGCAGCTCTGGGGCAGGTTTTTCACTCAGCACAGCTTCTCACAGCCTGAAAGACCGGCAGATAGGGGACAGGAGTCATTCAGGTTTCAACCTATAAAAATAGGTTCCACTTTTACCCTGCGGTGAAGCCAAATGATCAGAATGGAGGAGATATTTTTGATAGGCAAACCCCAAATAGCTAAAACAACTTGACATGAGCAAGCTTCTCTCAGCCTTAAGAATCTATCTTAATATTGAACTGTTGTTTTGTTGTCTTTTCACTGCTGCAGGAGGTTTAAATGTTCTCCAGATTGGAGGAAACAAAACAATGATTAACAGTGGAATGAAGTTTTTCTTTTTATACTATCCTGACAGGCTATTTGAGTGAATAAAGTAACTTTCTTGTGCACAATATTGGGTTAAAAGCTGCTGGGCTGCAGACTGATGTTGTATAGGGTGAGAAGCTCCAAATCTACTCAATCGGAAAGTTAAAGGAAGCCGTGGGCCTGGGTTTTCAGCGCTTATCTTAGAATCACAGCACCCAGCCCTCATTCAGTTAATCTACTGTTGGTGCACTGGGTGTTGCACAACCAGCTTTTATGTTCATGCAGCAAAGCAGATGGGTTAGGGGCTGAAAGTAACCAGAAAAGGGGGCATCACCACTAATCAAGTTTTAGAAGATACATGGCGTGCAGACTCTTCTATGAATTTTTTATCTTTTTTTTTAGGCCTACTACCTTACATCTTATTTAATTCATATTTATTTATTTGAGTTTCTTTTTATTCAACACTAACATTTTATTTATTTCTCTTTATTTTTCAGAATAGCTGCAAACTCAAATTGTTTTCAACTCTAATGCTGTCTCTTTATCAGGTTTTACCTGCTTAGATAAAGATTAAATAAATTAAATTAAATCATTCACAGAAAATAAAATAGATTTTAATGCTTGTTAGATTTTTGGTTACGATCTTTTTTTTTTGCAGAAGTAGGGGGAAACGCTCCACAGGAACCACCCAGTGGTTCTTACAGCTGATATTTCGTGACAGCTTCAACTTTACATCATTTTTTTCTTTTTTCTTCTCTGGTAAGGCTATTGGTGCAGATGCAGAGACAGTTGTCGACGCCCCCTCTCTGTCTGCATAAGGTCTGGATGCAAATGTGTGAAAAGCCCAGTGACCTGAGATCTCTGCAGGGAGGAGGCTGAGGTGATGTCTGATCTGACCTGAGTCATGATGGACTGCTGTCCTCTGAAGTCGCTGCCGCTGCTCCTGCTGCTCCTCAAGTCCACCAGCATCACATGGCTGCAAGGAGATCCAGCTAAAGGTTGATTTTTCATTCTGTTTATTAACAACATGATGAACAACGTTTCCATGTGCTGATTGGAACAAAAACAGGGCGACACCAAAATGTGAATCTCTATTGGGGGGAAAAATTGATGCCAAAAGAGAAAAAATTGTTTTGATGTTAATGGGAAAAAAAAAAAATCTACAATGAGATTTCACATTTTATTGAAAATAAATTAACAGTTT